GTTGTGACGTATTAAAAACTTCACAACCCTACCTATTGAATGATTAAGTGTACACTATAATGAGGCATAGAAAGAGAGGTGTATATTATGGGAGGCTAAGAGTCCTAATGCATTAGGGCTAATTAACTAAAATTATCTTTTAGTTAATTTGTATGTATTCAATTTGAATTAATGTTAGAAAGGATGTAAGTGGTATTAGTTTTTTTTATTATGGTTATTTTAGTCAATCAAAAATTTTTCATTTTTGTTGACATTTTATAGTAGTATAGACTAGTTACTGCACACCTACATTATACGTGAACTATTAATCTATTAGTTTTGTTTTTATTTTAATTTTGATTTTTACAACAACGTGTTGTGTGGCCAAATTGTCGTTGAAAGACCATACATTGAAACATAAACATTAAGCAAGAGTGTAATAGGATACGGTAACCATAATTCACATTAACTTTGTTGAGGGAGATGGCGAATCACATAAACAGTAACATGCGGATGCAAAATTAACAAAATTAAATGCTTGCTTCAGTCATGACCACAACATGTCCTTTCATTTAATGCAAAGCTCCTCAAAGCAAGCACTAACTAATGCAACTTTGAGCAACAACACTCCAAGATGTGCTTAAAAAACCTGAAACTAGAAAAAAAAACACATAGTTTTGATTTAGATCAAGCCTTTCAAGCAACATGGTTAATTATGTCCCTCATGATGAAAAAAAACATAAAATTATCTCTCCCCAAATTTGAAGAACGAAGCAGCACAAAATGTATAGGGCCGAGGGTCCAATATGGTACATGGAAGTAATACTTCACTAAAAAATTCTCAACATGTTGAATGCATTATTATGCATAGATCAAGACCTTAGCTTCTTTATCAACTACACTACCTTTTGTAGAAGTTCAATCATTGATATTTCTTAACATTAATGTTCTATAATTATACTCTTTATGCGAGAAATGGATACTCTTTAACTATAGCTGATTGTGACTTCCAAAAAAAGTACTCATCATTCAAAATTCGAAATCGAATGTATACTTTAAAGGCATCCTACTACTGTCTAGAAAATGATCTTATAGAAAACTATAGAACCTATGACAAAAGACAAGAACTTGGCAAACATACCATTCATTCGCCAAATTTTCAATTGGCGATCATCTGTTCAATCAGGGGGAGAGTGGGATGGAATGAAACCCAATTGAGTCCTCGATATGGTCTATCATCCTTGGACAAGTTTTTGTCTCTACAACATTAACAGCATTAACTGAAACGAAGGTGAAAAAAAGCAGGGTATCTTTTGTCACCAAACATAGAGATGTTCATTTGGTATGTAATTTCAAGACCATTGAAGAAATAGGGGCGACTAATCAATCTGATTATAGTTTAGAAGCAAAAGATCAAGTCAAGACTTTCCATCTTTGTACAAAGGATATGATCAAAAAATAGGGATAAAGAGTACCCAATTCCTTGCTTTACTAATAACATGAAAGATTTTCGGCATAAAGAGAAAAAAGAAGGATCAAATTTCAAGCTCTAATGACAACTCACTACTTGTGGCAGGAATGCAGGGTGGCACAGAAGATGTACGCCAGGTTTGGATGAACTGCAAACCTACAAGGTTCCCGTATCAGCATTCTAGCTGTTGGTGATGCATTTACATGGGAATAAAGAGAGGAAAAAAATACAGAACAAAGAAGGGACATAAATATTCATCCAATGGCAAGATCATTTGTTTTTGATAAATTTACACCTTTAATCACACTCCAAAAGATAGCCGCTATATTGTTTTTCTGATGTGCATTCATGTGATAAGATAAAAGTTGAATTGTTCAACACAAAAAAAAAAATGACAGTAAAAAACAGAAGAAAAAGAAGTGGCACATAATGCAAATCTACCAATACAAGAGATAGGACGTAAACGATTTTAGTCCATATAACCTAGTTAAGGTTCATCATGTTCTCAAGTGATGGCTTAGCTTTTTGTGTTTGTTAGAATAACCAAGTGTGTTCCTGTCACTGTGTGAAAGTTTTGAATTGCTAATATTTTAAGGTTCTCAGGCCTAATATATTAATAAATTCTATTCCATGTATCAACATCAATTTGCTATAATATACCAAAAAACTCAAACTCAAGAATAGATTGATCAACAGTGAGGCAATGATACAAGCGTATTCTTGCTCAATTATGTGGATGCTCCCTTTCTATTTACTTGTTCATAGTTTGATGTACTGATCTTGGCGTGAAATTTACACAAGAAACTAAGGAATCAAGACCATCAGTTGATAATTTTACTGTATGGGAGGATGTTACACAAACAAGGATGAACATCAAACAGATAGAGACAAACCTGTACCAATGTCCTTGGAACAAACAGAAGCAGTGTTGAATGAAAAAGACAAAATGATATTTGCCGCTCAATATGTACTCTTCCATCTGCAAATCTAATGATTAGATACAAAAAATCCATAGGACATCAAAATGAAGAATATATTTGAAGAGCCTATTGGAAGATATAATGAAGCATAAGCATGTAAAAATTAGTTCACTTTGTATAAAAGTTCCTTAAGAATTTGGCTTAAAAACTAATAAACTAACTATCTTTATTTTCAAAGATTTTGAATTTACTATTTCTCTTGGGTGAATTTGATATGAACAATGGTTTAAACGTAAGTCAATGTTGTGGTAATACAAGGTTTAAGATCAGTTCTCCCTGAAATCTACTCTTATTTTACCAATTGATAGGAAACATTCAACCCCCACCCACTTTTTACATATCCTGTAACTATAAAATTAACATCTAGATTTACGTTCAAAATAAAAAAGCAATTGGATGCTCAGATTAAACCTGTTTTACCTTTCAGAATTGTGATTAGATGGTATTGAAGTTTTGTTGACTAAACAATAATCACTATATGCAGAGTTCTACCTGTTTTTCACCGGAATATATAGAACAACAATTCGACATCAATAAGGAGATGAGGGCTATCCTAATTAATTGGCTAAATTGCTAAGGATCAAATATTATGAAAAACCTGAATACAAATATAATAAATCCAACAACACCCATCACATACAAGAACCACAAATCATAACCAGAACTACTGAGATATATTACCTACAACTAAAAATTCATTACCTTCAAGCAATACACTGATGGTTGTGCAGTGCCAACGCACAAAAGCTGAGGGCATCTGACAGAGAGGGGAAGAAAGAGAAGTGTGTCAATTGATGTCAGCTTATAAAAGTGGAGAATGAGGAATATATTCACCATACTGAATTTGTGGCCTTCCTAATAGTTTGATGAGAAAAACAACTGCAAATTTATGAGGCGAATAATTAATTTACCTCGTTAAAAGTTGAATGTACTAGTATCTAAGCAAAAGAATGAGTAAATAAGAAAAATCAATAATGTAGGATGCCAGACAGTAATGTACTCATATTGCTCAGAAGCAACATATAAGCAAAAATCTCAAAATATCGCAAACTCCAACTATGTAGTCTAGCTTATGCATACCCAATTACATTGCAATTTAAGAATACAATGGTACCTAGATGATTGTGTGGTGTATGTATAGTATTAACGATAACTAACCTTTTTATAGTGGGTTTGTATTTGAAGCGTGAGCTCCGTGAACTTACATTGTTATGATATTTCAACTAAATTGTCAATTGCACTCTCACAATAAAAGCTGTTCGTAACTCATGCTCAATTTATCATTGCTTGAGCAACTCACTATGTCTTCATATATCAGCAATTTTTTTTGCTTGAGATTACTCACCTAAGTTGATTTACACGTGCGTACGCATGAAATATGTTGAATTATCATTTTGATCATTATTTTATATTACTGATTTCTAATTTTATTGGTTGAGAATTCGAAGATTTGAGCATGTCTCCATATTTGATTTATATTGAACGATAACACACAATACACGGAGTTATGTTTCAACTTGTAGCTCTACCCAAACTAAATTTCATTCCTAGAAAAAAAGTATTTTTGGTCCTAAATCAGCCACTATATTCTCAAAGGCTGTTTTCAAGTTTATATTCTTATCTATTCCATGATGAAATCATATATTACACAAGTTTACTATGAGCCAAGCTTTCGTCAATTCCTTGCTACACAATTGGTTTCAAGGAAAGTGTGGGTAACTCTTTCATTTGATTCTTGAGCTGTTAAAACACATTGACAAATAAATGTAAAATTTTAAAAATAACAGGATGCGTATAAAATGTAAAAATCTCACCGCCCAAACTTGAAAGGGGGAACATGATTGTGGGCTAAGCAAAGATTGGCAAAACACAATCCACATCCCTATCCTAATTCTATAAGCTTTTCCACTGGTATCAAANGAACTTACATTGTTATGATATTTCAACTAAATTGTCAATTGCACTCTCACAATAAAACCTGTTCGTAACTAATGCTCAATTTATCATTGCTTGAAGCAACTCACTATGTCTTCGTATATCTGCAATTGTTTTTGTTTGAGATTACTCACCTAAGTTGATTTACACGTGCGTACGCATGAAATATGTTGAATTATCATTTTGATCATTATTTTATATTACTGATTTCTAATTTTATTGGTTGAGAATTCGAAGATTTGAGCATGTCTCCATATTTGATTTATATTGAACGATAACACACAATACACGGAGTTATGTTTCAACTTGTAGCTCTACCCAAACTAAATTTCATTCCTAGAAAAAAAGTATTTTTGGTCCTAAATCAGCCACTATATTCTCAAAGGCTGTTTTCAAGTTTATATTCTTATCTATTCCATGATGAAATCATATATTACACAAGTTTACTATGAGCCAAGCTTTCGTCAATTCCTTGCTACACAATTGGTTTCAAGGAAAGTGTGGGTAACTCTTTCATTTGATTCTTGAGCTGTTAAAACACATTGACAAATAAATGTAAAATTTTAAAAATAACAGGATGCGTATAAAATGTAAAAATCTCACCGCCCAAACTTGAAAGGGGGAACATGATTGTGGGCTAAGCAAAGATTGGCAAAACACAATCCACATCCCTATCCTAATTCTATAAGCTTTTCCACTGGTATCAAATGCAATGCAATCATCTTGGGGCAATGTGCCACTTTCCTCGACATGCTAAACATTTCCAAGTGCTAATTACCAACATATCATAGTTGAATGTCAACTATCTTAGCAACAGTTTAGTCCTGTCAACATCTAGGAAAACAAAAACACCAAGAGGATCCAATTGAGTCCTAAACGTTCCAAAGCATAACACCTCTCTTGTGTCTTGCACATACGAGGATCCTACTGCAAACTCTTGAAATCCCCTATCAATCTCTTCCTCAGCGTAGTCGACATCCTCCCTGGTTTTGTCACCAACTTGGAAAACAAATCTAATTAACTACAGCAAATTCAAGCAAAAATTCGCTTTCATTTGCAAGTACAGAATTGTATTTATCCCTTTCAAAAAGAACCCCGGATCCATAAGTTATATGAGGATCTAGATACATAGAGATAGAGAGCTTACCTATGAGTATGAGTGGTAAGAACGATTAGGTTATTGACGAATTCTTGCAATAGAAAGAATGACTTGCACAAAACTTTTCATAACGGCATTATCTGCAACAAACAGATAGTTTATGAAGGTATTGATCAACCAACTGCACAAACTTTAGAAAAAAAAATAACAAATAAAAATTATATTTTGAGGGTCATATGCATAGTTTCCTCAATAGATAATCAGCAAAGCTTGAACCTCCAGATTCCAGAACGCGGCAGAGTAAACAAATAATGGTGACGAGCCTTCAGTAGTGAACACTACTAACCTGATGTAAGAGAACACCCGAAAATTTTGTTGAAAATGCTCTGATCACGTCCTTGCCAAGTGGCGCACCACCACAATCAACCCTATCCAACGACCTCAAATCATAGCCATCCGTCACATCTCCCTTCGCCATAGTTACCAACACCGGTCGTGCCATTGCCACTGCCACATCCGTCACCCTGAACTCCCCCACAGCTCTCCACATTTTCCTCAAGTCAAACCTCTCCATCAACACCACAGTCTCTCTTAGAGCCACAGACTTCACACTGTCAAAAACCCAAATACATGAAAATAAGGCACCGTATACAGCAACAACGCCGGTGACTCCCTCTCCGGTCGCCAAGCTAAAAATATCCCTACAATCGCAATCAAGTTCCGATGAGTCAGCATCACACCTTTGACTTGTCCGGTAGTCCCCGACGAGTACATAATCGCTGCGATACCAGACTGACTCACTTCGACGCGGGGCAGAGTTCACGACTTGAACTCGATAACACCGACTCAAACTCAGGCGAGTCGATAAGTATTGTCTGGTATCGCATGGTTGGGAGTTTGTGACACGTTGATGAAACGACAAAGGCAATCACTGGTTTTGAGAGCCTAATTTGGCGAAAAAGATGATGATTCCGGGAGAAAGAAGAGAGAAGTATAGGATAGGAATTTGGGTTGAATTGGGAGAGAGAATGAATGCAGTGTCGCCTTTGGAAAGACCCGTTAGGTTTTGCAGAGATGCGGCCAGGATTTTCGTTTGGTTGGTGAATTCGGAGTAAGAGAAGCAGTGACCGGTGGCTGAGTTTATCAGAGTGGTTGGGTTGGGCCATGGTGAAGTGAGTTGGGAGGGCGGTGATGAATTAGGTTTATTGGGCCATTTATTTTGCTGAAAGATAGTAATATATATTATCTATTAGAATAAAACTAAAAAATTAAATAAGGGGTCAAATTATAATGGATATAATATCTTTTAGCTTTAATTGGAATAGTTTAATATTTTAATTTGATAGTTAAAACAACCAAGTTAAATTCCAATAGACAATATAATTGTATACTAATTACAATTTTTTAAGAAAAAATTGAATTTTTATTTTTGCTTTTATTTTAATAAAAAATAAATAGAACATGAATTTTAATCATAAAATTTAAGATATTTGATATTTTATTTTTGATTGAAGTATTTTTGGTCTAACTATAATAATTTAAACTTAAGGGGTCTAAGTATTATATACTTATAAACTTCAAGGGAGTCTAAGTATAATTTATTAATGGATATATTTATAATAGAGTCTAAGTGTTACGCGCATACAAATCTTAGAGGGGTCTGTGTATAATATTTTAAATGTCAAAGATCTAAGTGATTAAGTGACAAACCTCAAAAAGTTTAGGTGTAATTCTCCCTATTTGTTTTTACCAGAAACTAACAGTAGGAAAATAAAGAAAGTAACAGTAGGAAAATAAAGTTTTAAAGATATGTTGGTACTTTAAAATAATATAAATTATTACTCATGCCTAAGAATACTATAAAAAAAAAAAATTACACTTGAAACAATGTATAACACAAAATATCAATTAATATAGACCCATTATTAAAAAAATTGACAAAATACACTTTAAAAACACGACTCTTAGACAATATCAATCTATATACATAATTTGTATAAATGGCAATAATAAACACCACGAACTCAACTTTTTTTGGTAAAACTCATGCCGTGGCAAAATTTATTAATAATCGAAATTACAAAAAAAAAAAAAGAGAAAAGAAAAGGAAGGCGGACTTAAACCTTACCCCTCCACATAATAAAATAAAATAAATAATTGAAAAGTCTTGCTTTCAAATGAAAGTGACAATTTAAATGGCCTAAGCTCACTTGTTACCAACTTGTCCAATTGGAGCAAGGTCATAAGATAAACCATCAAGTCCCCTAGTTCCATTAAGCAAGCTATGGAATGATTTGAGGATTAGGATTTAAAACCACTCAAAATGCGATGAGTTTTGTTACTATCATATCCCTACAATTAGGCCCACATGAATAGAAATCAAGCAAGAAATTTAATACAATGACAATAAAACAACTAACAAAATCGATTTAAAATCTATTGTTCAGTGGGTTGTAGTGATGCTTGCAGAAATGGGTAATGTGGGTCTGTGGTGGGGCTGGGGTTGATGGCGGAGGGGGTGGGTTGGAAAGTGCAAAGCTTGGTGAATTTCATAGTCGTGGTTGTGGCTTGGTAGGCTATGGTAGATGGAGGAGCAAAGTGAGAAAGATGAAAAGGAGATGATGGTGATGGCTATTTAGAATCTTGATGAAGGTGATTTAATATTTTAATATCAATTAATTCATAATTTTTCTAACTATAAAGACCCTAAAACAAAACAATGCTAACGAATTATAAAAGACCAACCAATAGCATAATTCGAAGAATCAAAAACCCTAAACAACACAAAAATGCATTAAAAACAAAAATCCTTTTATATTGAAATTTTGACAAAAATACAAAACCCAAACATACATGAGTGCACTATCATAAGATCAAATCCAACCAAATGAACAACTATACGTAGGACCAAAACTACAAATGTGCTACCACATTTAAGAGGAGCTTCGCTTTGATTGTTTCTAATATTTTTTTATAATTATTGAGAAAACTGCCCCTTTTTTGTTTGTCATAGTCTTCACTCAGGTTGTACATTAATGTTGGCATGCATAGAAGAGTAGTCATTAATTGAACACTTGTTCGATTGTCACAATTAAGTATAAATAGATCCTGGTAATTTTTTTTTTAAAAAAAATTAACCTCAATTGTGCGAGGACCAATTTTATTTATTAAAATTTTAAAATGTGAACCGGGGAACTTGTAGTCTCACCTGATGGTAAGAAAAAAAAAATTAAAGAACGAAACATTAAGGGCAAAAATGTTTATTGCCATGTAAGCCGATATTTTTTAAATTTTAGGATAGTTAGTCCATTCCCAAAAAACTTTGCATGATTTAAGGGATTTGTTTTGCTAAAGATTCAAATATGCACTCTACCTTATTGTATGACTTACACAACCACACATGGTTTCCAAACCCTTTTGAATTTTAAACTCATCCACCAAGATCCCCACCCATAGTAATAAGCCCAAAACAGTTGTACCAAAATGACGAAAATCATGCATAGCTTTCTTGAAATTTTCTCTATCAAAACTTTATGGGGAGAGAGAATTCGAAAGAAATCTCTACTCATAGCTCCCTTGAGATACTCTAGTTGCATTCCACAAAACCTAAAATAAGACGTCCAAAAATGAAATGAAAGATACTTTTATGGTAGGATACTTTCATGATTCAGGCTACCCCCATTACTTCAGTTTAAAACTCTATAGTATCCTACCAATTTTAAGATCCTCCAATATCTCTTGTAACTTCGCAAGCACTAATGTCTCTTCCCTTTTTACTTTTTTCAAGATTGACCTATCCCATAAACGTCATATGTAAAATAAGAAAGTAGGATCTAATAAAAGCAATTAGATGTAATGTGTAAAATAAGAAAGTAGGATCTAATAAAAGCAATTAGATGTAATGTAAACCAAACCTAAAATATTGAAGTCCACTTACTGGATGTGCGAATAATTGCGATGACTGAGACAAAGCACAATTGTTACTCATGGCTCACCAATTCGACGACAAAACCAACTAATTACTTCGGCAATGTTCCACTATCAAGGAGTGTGGGGTGGTGGCTTACGGTGGTTGGTGGCAGTGGTTCGCTCACCAATTTGACGATGAAAGCAACTGATTAGTTAGAGTTGCTAGGTGAGGTAAGGAGAGAGAGTTAGATGAGAGAGATGTGTCAGGTGAGGTAAAAATTAGTATGAGATAAGGGAGAGAGTTAGAGACAAGCTGCTTTTAAAAATTAGAGAGAGGTTGGGTGAGTGCATCAGGTGAAGTAGTAGGGAGAAAGTTAGTCTGAGATAGGGAGAGAGAGATATAATATGGGATAGAAAGATAGAGTTAGATGAGAGATAAAAGTCTTTATATTAGTTAGTATGAGATAGGGAGAGACAGTTAGAAGAGAGATAGAAGTTTTAGAAAAATTTGACATAAGGACTGTTGGATCAACAATCGTCAAAAGATCTGAGTAGCAAAAAACTAAAGACACAGGAAACTAGCTACTTGATTATATAAATAGCCCAAGTTTACATCAAAAACCACAAACACAAATAAATATTTTCTCTCAAGCTAAATCATTAAAATTCATAAGCATTATCCCTTATGCTCACCGATGTTGGTAGGGCTCATAATCGAGTCGAGTTTTACGAGTTCGAGCTAAGCTTGTTAAGCATGTTTTTCTAAACGAGCCTACAAAATTATTCAAGCTTGGCTCATTTAGAAAATGAGCTGAGCCTGAGCCGAACCCAAAACGAGCCAAACCTGATTAGTTCGACTATTTTACATAAAAATGAATCGAACTTTGGGATCTCAAGCTGAGCCTTTTAAAAATTGTTCAAGCTCGGCTCGTTTAGAACACGAGTCAAGCTTGAGTCGATTCTTATCTGAGCCGAGCCCGAATAGCTGAGCTCAATTATCAGTCCCATATGATGGTATCAATCTCAACATCAAAATTTGAAAAAATGTTAATTATAGGTGTGAACACAACTGGCTCAGCAGTTTCCAAACCTAAACAAGGTTTAGAAATATAAGAAAAGCAAGTCTCAATTTTTTCAAATAAACATATATAACTTTAGAAGTAAAACATGTGGTATTAATAACGATCTCAATTTTCTATACGTGTATAAAAAATTCATAACAGAGTAGAATCATTTAGAAAACAACAATTTACAATAGAAAATGATAGGCCAAGTCCAAGGGCCCAACTCATGTCATGAGCCCAGTTTGAATAAATAGTCCAACTCCAAGAGATCTAGCAAGTTAAGCCCAGAGTGGTCCACGGCCGGTCAAGGTCATCGTGTTTGAGGAGCTACATCAGCAGGGGAGTATGTAGGGTCATCTAAGAGCTTCATCCTCGTTACCTTAGAAATAGTTAACCCTCACCTCATCCTTTGACCGAATCTCATGAAGAGCACCGAAACCGCCTCGCCTGTTGAGAAACGGTCGCCAGCTTCACCAGATTAGCTATTTAGTTACTATTAAGTCGCCCTAACCAGCTATGAGGCGACTATAAATTGTAAGTCCCACCAACACTTGGGGGACATCACACTCAGTCAAGCACAACTCTTTTCTCCCTCTCAAAGCTTGTAACTCTCTGCTCTCCCTACACACTTGAAGTAATAAAATACCTAGCGACCCTAGCCATTCAAAATGGATGTAGGTCACATTGATTGAACCACTATAAACCTTGTCTTCTTCATCTCTCACTTATTAATTACTGCATTTATTACTGCTCATCTAACAGGTGGTGTACAAACCCAATTTGTCCATCATCAGTTTGGCGTCGTCTGAGGGAATGACTAAATTCTCACTTCTAAACACTTTTTTTGGTTAAATCTATGATGATCACCACCAGATCAATGAATTAAACTGAGAATAATCCACTACAAGAGGAGG